AATACAAATTGACTGATGGCAGTAACAATCTGGAACGCATCTGCATATTAAAAATCCTACTTGCAACTAAGGTCTGACATATTTCACAAATAGAGACAGTAAATTTACCTAAATGTATCATCATACATTCTGATTTGCAGACACTTCATGCAATAAATGTTTTAAAACAATTAAATGTGATAGCGATATGATTCATAAAGACAGTCTATTTCAATTGGGAGAATGAATGTGAAAGGATAGCCATCTGACAGCTCAATGGATTTCTATTCTAGACCCTACACAAGTGGAAATCTACTATGGAGGGAGACGTGTTGCACTGTTTTCTGTATCCACGCTACACATGGCGGGTAGCGATATTGCACTATTTTTGTAAATAATGCAATGCATACCAAAAGACGATGCACAATTTTTAATTGAGGCAACCTAATTTATACAAATTCCACAACTCCAGCACACATGTTTTAGGAGCTTTGCCATTTGGGACAATTACAGGTACATTGCAGTTCAATATTCAATCCAGTTTGCTTGGGCAGGTTAAGCCAAACATCTTAACTACATGACAGTATACCAGTAATCTTATTTTTTGGGAGGGGGTTGAGGGATAAGCCATCACAAGCAAGTCAGACAAGGAGATCAAGCAGTCGAGAGTGCCAAGAGTAGCAACCAGAACAAGGTATAGTCTCACTGGTTATGTTTGTGTCCAAATTGTTTCTGGCATTGGGCTCATCAATCATCAGATCAGCAATTAACTCATTCTCCTGCTCTAACAGTGATAGTCGTTCTGATAGGTTTTTTATTGTATAATAATGATGGTGGTGGGAGAAATTTAAACGTTAACATTCCAATCATTTTTCTTTGTGAAAGCTGTAACTTATGGCAGATGTATTTGTGTGGAGAAAGGACAAACAAATTCGATTTTAAACCGGGAACACAGCTTGACGCCTTCTTGGGCAATGATTAAATGTCTCCATGTTTGTTAAATATCTGAAGAGGTGAATATTCTCTGGCTTTAATGGGCTTTTACATGAATTAAGTCATCTGACTGCTGTTTTGAATAATGTCACCACTAACCATTTATTTGATCCTTTGTATGACTGGGAGGAAATTGGAAACTTCTGTTTTAAACTCACAAATATTCCATTCCTAAATCTCCACTTTTTTTTCTCATGTTCTCGTTAACGTATGCGTTAATTTTCTGCAACGAGGAGAAAGTCACCTTCTGGAATTTCTTTAACAAGCACAATTTTTACGCTTTCTTGCTCTGTCCCCAGGAGCTGTTTGAAAGACCATCCAACTATGGTGTTCGCCCAAGGAATTCCTAACTTGGCCCCATCCATTGTGAACCCAACGATGGCTCCAGCTACAAACAAGTCCAGCGAAACTCTGAGCTCACCATCTGTAGGCAGCAGAGGAGAACTGGAGGTCAATGGGCACTACAGGGTAGACATAAACAGCACGGTGCACTACCAACTCACTCCAGGGGAACTTGTGGCTGTCAGCTTTGTGTTTAGCATGCTCTGGCTCGTTTCTCTGTTTGGGAACTCATTGGTTTGTTTAGTGATCCACCGGAGCCGCAGGACTCAGTCAACCACCAATTACTTTGTAGTGTCCATGGCTTGTGCAGATCTGCTCATCAGTGTGACCAGCACCCCGTTTGTGCTCCTGCACTTCACCTCAGGGAAATGGCTGTTGGGGAACGTCATGTGTAAACTTGTTAGGTACTTTCAATATCTAACCCCGGGAGTCCAGATCTATGTCCTTCTCTCCATCTGTGTGGACCGATTCTACACTATTGTGTACCCCTTGAGTTTCAAAGTCTCCAGAGAGAAAGCCAAGAAGATGATTGTCGCCTCTTGGATTTTTGACGCCGCGTTTCTGTCTCCCACTTTGTTTTTCTATGGCACCCAAAAGGGCACCTGTAATTTATTCCTGCCCCAGTCCTGGAGCGGCGTTGCCTATGGCACGGCACATCTTTTAGTGGGGTTCCTGGTCCCTTCTGTCCTCATCATATTGTTTTACCAGAAAGTCATCAAATACATATGGAGGATCGGCACGGACGGCAGGACAGTGAGGAGGACAATGAATATCGTGCCCAGAACCAAGGTCAAAACGATAAAGATGTTCTTGATGTTAAACTGCATGTTTTTGTTGTCTTGGTTTCCTTTCTACGTGGTTCAGATCTGGCAGCCCAATGAGAGTGATTACGAGCGGTGTTCTGCTGTCTTTCTATCTGTCACCTTGGTGTCTTTCAGCTCCTCGGCCTCCAAGCCCAGTCTTTATTCCATCTTCAATGCAAACTTCAGGCGTGGTATGAAGGAAACGTTCTGCATGTCCTCAATGAAATGTTACCGAAGCAATGCGTACACCATAACTACCAGTTCCAGGGTGGCCAAAAAGAACTATGTTGGAATTGCAGAAATCCCTGCGCCTGCGAAATCCATCACCAAAGACACCATTTATGAAACGTTCGACAGAGAAGCTAGGGAGAAAAAGCTTGCCTGGCCTATAAACTCAAACCCTCCTAATACATTTGTGTAACCAGTGCTTTACAGATTGCAATATCACCAAGAATATTAGAATCAGTTTATATAATATACAATCATATATTTTATTTATTAATTAACAGGGAGATGTTTTCCCCACATCTTGCCCTTTTTTGAGAGGACTTAAGTATAATTCTTAAATCCTTGTGTCGTTTTAATGTTATCCAAACTGTGTATCTAATTTGATTGCACATTTTAATGTAAATGTTGAGTCACTGTTGTAATGCTAACTTAAAAAATCTAAAGAACTGATAGATAATATCAGAGCATTAATTCAGCTGCATAGGCAATGCAGTATGTGTGTGGAATGAAACAAGTTGATTTTGTGTTTTACTGGACTGCTTGGGACTGCTGTAGTGCTTCTACCACTGCTACTTGAAGCAGTTAATGTTTGCAAGGAAGTGTCAGTTTTGTGTTCATGTTCCTAAGAACCCTTGGGTTCCATGTAAATTGGGGTAAGGATGAATGCACGCTGTCATGGTAATGTACTAGTCATAGGAAAATGACATCACATTCTGTACGAGTCGTTATTTTTAATTGAGAGTAAAACCACTTTGCTGATCAGTCTAACCTGAATTTTGTTGCCTTTAATGACCAATTGCACAATCATTTCTAATGCTTCTTTAACTCTTAAGATTTCTGGCAGATTTGAGTAGTCTAACCTCTCTCTCTCACTCTCTCTGTGAGAAACTCGTTCTGTGTGATTTCAGCTCAGGTATTGTTGAAATATAAACACTTCAATACTGTATTGCAGTTCCAAAACTATCCAATTATCTGAATAGCCATATTAATGTGATGACACTAAACTGCTAAAACGCAAAAAATATAATTTGAAGGGAATTATCCCACAATGATTTTCTCCTATTCACCTGGGTTATAAATATGGCTATGCCTTTCTACTCATAGGACTGCATGGGTGCTGGGAAACCTCTGAATCTTTGCCCAATTTGCAATCATTCATTGCTAATGAATTTTGGCAGAGTATCCAAAAGTGGGGCATTGCAGCTGAATCTGATCCTGTCCTCATCCAACATCCACCTGCTAAAGGATTTGCTGGATACCTTTAGGTGTGGGAACTCCGGCTGATTTTGCATTTTTATATGCAAAGATTATAGTAACTTATTTGTACACAATGTCCTATAAATATCCATGGAGTTAATAACCAATTTTATTTGGGGCATTGTTGACCAGGATAACGGGTGAAACTCTTTTTGTATAGTCTTGTAATGTCCACCTGAATACAGATAGGACCTGAATACAACCCACTGCCACCCATCCCCACCCCCCCATCCCTTACTTAGGACAGAAATTGTACTCCTTTATGTTTATCATTATTGTTAGACCACCCAATCTAATGGGAACTGCAGAACCATTGAGTCCTGCAGCTCAGTGGTTAGAGCACTCACTTTGCAAGCGAGAGACCTGAGTTCAATTCCAGGCAGGGCGAAACCTTGGGCAAGTTTCCTTACTCCACAAGCCTAATAATAATCCCTCCAAAACAAAAAACAATAATAAATTGGTCATTTTTAATCTACGACTGTTTGTGGGACATTGCTGTGCGCAATTGGCTGCCGCGTTCGCCCACAAATATAGTCAATTCACTTTACAGTGTGTTCTGTGAAGCGATTTGGGACGTCCTCCCGACGTGAAAAGCGCTATATCAAATGCAAAGATTATTATTATTATTATAGTGAGGTGTTGGAATCCATGAAATCTCATAGCAATGAATGAAAGCAGGTTTGACTGCGTGTGTGCGTCGCTGGCCGACTCACTGGGCAGTTTCCACGCGAAAAAAAATGGGCAACTTCCAGGTCATCAGGTCATCATCACCAACATTACAGTAAAGCAGAAAGTGATAAGGATGGCAACCTAATGGCCTGGACATTGGCCATTTTAACACACAAAACAGGCAGGTGTGTGGGAAGGGAGTGAATGAGTGGGCTGCCTGTACGAATGCACGGTGTATGGATTTTGCAGTGCAACTGTGTTGTGGTTTGCAGGCTGGATGAAATCATCTCCCTGCGCTCCCAGTTGGACCTCTCCCGATATAATACATTCCTTCGTTTTACAAATGCATTCAGGCCACTGAGGTTTACCACACTATTTTTAATTTAAACACAAAAATTTAAAAATGTAAAGACAAATGTAAATAAAGTGCCTAGGCAGAGGCTATTCAGTTTTTCAATTTACAGATATACAGAGTAGTCAGATGACTATATAGATTGAAATCATAAAATACAAAGCAGTTACTATTGTGTATTGTTATTTTGCCACCAAAGAGGTGAATATACAGACTATTTTTGATAGTAGCTTCATCTTCTTTCACTGGTCATTCTTGAATATTACATAAAATGTACATCACCAAGGACAATGCATATGTATTGCCTCAATCTTCTTCTGCAATATGTCAGTTACTGGGGATTAGTTTTTTTTTCCTGGAATAAGAACAAAAATTTAGATCCATTGAATACAGCACAATTTTTAATACAGTTTACTGCCTTTCACATCAGGAGGGCATCTCGAAGCCCTTGAAATAAACAACGATAACTTGACTTTATAGCACCTTTCAGGCAGGGTTGTGTCTCTGAGAGCTTAACAGTGTCCGATCCTTATGCTGAACCGTGGGGAGGGAGAAGGTGACTGAAGTGGCTGAAAGCACGGCTGCCAATGGTGGATCAGAGGGGATGAGGGAAAAGCAGGAGACTGGAGCCAGTCAAGCGGAGACAGTGGGTGATGGGAGTGGACAGTAAGCAGATCAGAGAAGTAGAAAGGTGCAAGGGCATGAGGGGATTTGTAGATGAGTATAATGATCTTGAAGTCAATCCATTCTGTGATAGAGAGCCAGTGGAGCCTGGGAGGACTGGTGAAACGGGGTTACGCAGTGTGACGATTTTCCTTTTTTGACATCCACTGGCAGTATCAAGCACTGCCAGAAGAATACAGGTATTGCTCTTCTCTGTCTCAACAATAAATCAGTATTAGTTTAAAAAAATGAGCCCTGGGAAAACACTGAAGCTCGAATTTCGGCAGTGATATTGGCACATGAACAAGAGGGGAAATAGATATCAAAAATGGATTTCTACTAGTTCACATGCTAGTGTTAATGTTTTGGTAATGTACTGCTGAACCCAGCCACCACCACAAATGATCATAAACTGTCTGACAAGTAGGATTACCCAAAGAATACAATTCAATTTAAACAGGCTAAGATTTTCCAGGTGTAGGCATGTGAATTCCATTTATGTTGTTTATTGAATATCACAATAATTCAATGCAGAAGCAGAATCATTTGACTGTACTGAACCAAGCACTGCTGTGATATAGAGGTGAACAGCTTAAACACTGATTTTTTTTCAACATTTGCCTTACTTATTCCGGTAGGAAACTCTGGTTAGGATGATAACACCCAGGCTAATCTATGCTCCAGAACATTCATATTCTCAAACTCTGAATGATATTTGGAAAAACACAGATTATTTTATTAACCTTAGATCCAAAATTCTGCAGATGTTTCAAGACATCCTACCCAGAACCGTTATAGTGAGGTGTTGGAATCCATGAAATCTCGTAGCAAATGCCGTGTAAGGCACTTGGCAAAAGATTTCACTGCATTTAAATTATTGATGTAAAAATAAGGTGGACATTCCTCTCTGGAATCTCTTACTTTTTAATATTGGCAAACAACCAAATCCGAATTGAGAAAATGGGATCCAGTAAGGCTTTTCATCCTTCTATAAACAGTATCCTTGAGGCTAGGAAACATCACCTACCTGGCTAGTGTAGAGCAATATCAGAATGCCAAGGCAGGCTGCAATGTGGCTGTTCCTATTGCTGCTAATCTAGCAGCAGATCATCTACATTATTTAAATACACTGTCCTTCCCTAGATCTAGAAGCTTTCCTCCATCTCTCTGGCTTCTTGAAACTTCTGGTTGGCATGAAGCGTTACGAAGATCTAGCTCCCTTTTCTTAAAAAACAAAGATGAAGTTTCTTTTCATGAGGTTTGATTCCACATCTAAATTGAAAGATCTAGACAATAAACTGAGTAATTTTACCATTTACTGGGTGGGTAAGGGGTTGGAGGGAAGGGGTGTTTAGAAGAGAGGTTATGCGAAAAAATCTCCACAGATTTGAACTGCTTTCATAGACACTTCTATACTGCAAATCAGGCAACCTGTGCTATGTACAACATGTACCAGACCCCACAAGGTGTCCTCAGTTCAGTGTCTCAGCTGAAGAATACGTGCAGCTGCTGAACTGAAAATAATTACCAGTGATGGAGATTGAATATAACTACAGGCTCCATCACTCGTCAAAGACTCAGAATATTATAGAAAAGGAAAGAAGCAATAAAAGACCAGACAATTTCTCAAAGGAAAATTAAATAAATCAATTTGATTAACACAATAAATAGTTAAGTACCAGGTTGTTGCTTGCTTCAGTTTTCACTATTTTTCCTGGCTTGTTTGTAGTTTGCTGGGCCTTGTTTTGTTCATCACCGGTTAGAAGTGCCTTTATTTCTGATGGTATCTTGCCCTGGTCCATTGCTGTGCACCATTGTTTGTACTATCAAATAAAGCAGATGCCATCTCTCATATTCTAACATATTTAGTTAAAGTGGTTAACCAAAAGAGCAAGCAACCTTTGAAGCATTTTACCCTTCTAAAGTTGCAGATAATATAAAATACAAAATGTATATAAAATGCAAATCTGGATTCCTTCATTTTTTGTATTGCCAAACTGCAGAAATTCTAATCAACACTTTTACATACCATTTCCAGCTCTTCTCTCAGTGCACAAATTGCTCTCTCTCTACTGGATACAAGCTCTTCCAGGTACTGATATCGCAACTTCTTTCTTGCTCTGCATTCTCTTGCACTCTGTCGACTTCGCTCAAGTTTTGCTTTTAAATCAATTTTGGCAGGTTTACGCCCTCTTTTTCCAGGTTTTTTCACTTTCCCTCCCACCACCTAAAGAAGAACAGATATTTAAAACAAAAAATGTGGACTATTATACAATTTTGAGATTGTGAGCAATGTGAAATACTAATTTTTTCGCTGTTTCAGTGAAATAAAAGTTACATCAAACAAAATTCCATTGTAAATCTTGTGGGAGGCGTGGGTGGGGGGGGAAGAAATGGAGAACCACAGAACGTCCAAACGGGAATATATCAAACAATGCAATGCACTCCCAGTACCGTATATCCAGCATCTCAGTGGGGTTATATTATCATTATTGATAATTCTCAGTTCAAGCAGCCATGAAGTGAATGACCAATTTCTTCTTGGCCACAGATCATAAAAAGCAGAGGTATGTCAGCAGAGTTAATAATAATAATCTTCAGCCATAAAGTGAATAAACAATTTCATCATACATGGGAGGGTTGGGTGGGGGGAAGAAATTGTTGGCCACGGCACCTCAGTGAAGATGCAGATCATTGGGCCTTCGGGCTGATTTCCCTGCAATGCCCATCCAATCTCATCCCTGCAGAACAACCCCCTACCGTTCCCTCCTCCCTACAACGCCATCCATCACTGCACCAGCAGCTTTTTAGAGTGCCCTGGCCTCAACCACCTTTCTCGGCAACCTTAATTATCCTCTGGTAAAGAAAAATATCCCGGTATCTGTCCCAAAATTATCCTTTTTCTAACTCTAAATCTATGCCCTCGTGTTCTACTGGTTGGCTCAATCACTCTCGCTTCTGAGTCAGAAGGTTGTGGGTTCAAGCCCCATGTTGGGACGTCGAAGCTTATGGTGACACACCAATGCAGTGCTGAGTGGCGGGGGTGGGGGTTGCATTGGCGGAGATGCTGTCCTTCAGACGAGGGTTAAACTGAGTCCCCATCTACCTGTTCGGGTGGACGTTAAAGATTCCTTGGCACTATTTGAAAAGAGAAAGAAGTTTATCCTGGCGTCCTGGCCAGCAATAGCCAAAATGAAAAAAAATTTGGTCGCTCACTCCACGGCTGTTTGTGGGGCGTTGCTGTGCACAAACAGGCGACCGCTCTTCACCCACAAAATACACAGTCAATAACCACTTTACAAGTGTATCCTGTGAAGCGCTTTGAGACGTGATTAGGCTCTACATCAAATGCAAGAATTATTACTATTATTATTATGAAGCACTCTAAAGTATCGACCTGGGTTTACCCCAGCCCACAAACCTGCTCAGTCAGAGCGAGCGAGCGGGGGGGGGGGGGGGGGAGTGTTTGTTTGCAGGAGCTGAGCACTGGTGGGGGGGGTGTGGGGGAGGGGTGTGTGTGTGTGTGTAGGAGCTGAGCACTGGTGGGGGGGTGTGGGGGAGAGGGTGTGTGTGTGTAGGAGCTGAGCACTGGTGGGGGGTGTGGGGGAGGGTGTGTGTGTGTGTAGGAGCTGAGCAGTGGTGGGGGGGGGTGTGGGGGAGGTGTGGGGGAGGGTGTGTGTGTGTAGGAGCTGAGCACTGGTTGGGGGGGGGGGGTGTGGGGGAGGGTGTGTGTGTGTGGAGGAGCTGAGCACTGGTGGGGGGGGGGGGTGGGTGTGTGTGTAGGAGCTGAGCACTGGTGGGGGGGTGTGGGGGAGGGTGGGTGTGTGTGTAGGAGCTGAGCACTGGTGGGGGGGTGTGGGGGAGGGGGGGGTGTGTGTGTAGGAGCTGAGCACTGGTGGGGGGGGGGTGTGGGGGAGGGTGGGTGTGTGTGTAGGAGCTGAGCACTGGTGGGGGGGGGTGTGGGGGAGGGTGGGTGTGTGTGTAGGAGCTGAGCACTGGTGGGGGGGGGGGTGTGGGGGAGGGTGGGTGTGTGTGTAGGAGCTGAGCACTGGTGGGGGGGTGTGGGGGAGGGTGTGTGTGTGTGTAGGAGCTGAGCACTGGTGGGGGGGGGTGTGGGGGAGGGTGTGTGTGTGTGTAGGAGCTGAGCACTGGTGGGGGGGGGTGTGGGGGAGGGTGGGTGTGTGTGTAGGAGCTGAGCACTGGTGGGGGGGGGTGTGGGGGAGGGTGTGTGTGTGTAGGAGCTGAGCACTGGTGGGGGGGGGTGTGGGGGAGGGTGGGTGTGTGTGTAGGAGCTGAGCACTGGTGGGGGTGTGTGGGGGAGGGGGGGGTGTGTGTGTAGGAGCTGAGCACTGGTGGGGGGGGTGTGGGGGAGGTGTGGGGGAGGGGGGTGTGTGTGTAGGAGCTGAGCACTGGTGGGGGGGTGTGGGGGTGTGTGTGTGTAGGAGCTGAGCACTGGTGGGGAGGGGGTGTTACAGGGGAGTGAAGCCCCAGCTGTCAGGGGAGCAGTCAGGCCTCAGGCTCTCCCTCTCCCACTCACCTTACTGTCATCCATTGCCGCCTCAGCCTGAGCCCGGAGTCCGGAGCCCCCGAGGCCTTCCCCCTCCTCCGCAAAGCTAAAGGACTGAAAACAACGAGTCACCGCCTCTCTCGCGGGTGAAACGGATCCATAAACAAACCCGAGACCTCCTCCTCCTCCCCCCCCCACCACAACAATGACAGTGCGCGTGCGCCGCCCCGCCCCGCCCATGACGACATCGCCCCTCCCCTTCCGGCCGTGCCTGCTGCCTCTTCTGCGCATGTGCGGCCCCATCTGACTGACTGAGTGACTGACTGTGTGAGTGAGTGTCTGACTGCACAGTGACTGCACAGTGAGCTGCAGTGCCAGGAGGTCACAGAGCCCAGGCAGTGCTGGGAGCGTGGCTCCCTCTCCTCTCCGGCTGGTTCTGATCTAAATCCTGTTTCCCCCCCCCAATTTTTTTTTTTTGTCGCTCTTTTCTGCCTCTAAAAGTAATCCCTCCGAAACCAAACGCGATACTAAAAATTGGTCATTTTCGATCCGCGACCGTCGGCGGGACGCTGCTGTGCGCCAATTGGCTGCCGCGTTCGCCCGCAAAATATTACAGTCAATTCACTTTGCAGTGTGTTCTGTGAAGCGCTTTGGGACGTCCTCCCGACGTGAAAAGCGCTATATCAAATGCAAGGATTATTATTATTATTACGCACTCACCCCTCTCCAGCGTCTGTCTGTTAAATGCTTTGCGATTGTTAATAATGATGATGATCATCATCATAATAATCCCTGCGTTTGAATACGGCAACTTATCGCGACGTCTCGAAGCACATCGCGGGACTTTACTGCAAAGTGGCGCGACTGCGTGCATTCTGCAGGCTTTGTTCCCACCGATTGCTCGCACATTGTTCCCGTCTTGTGTCGACGATGACCTGTGTTTATTTAAGTGCATAGGATGGTGTGTCAAAGCATTTTTGCAATGGTGGGTCCAGGCACTGAGGGAGGGAGCTGACCATAGGGATAGTTGAAGAAGTAGGTTTTAAGGCAGAGTTTGAATACAGATGGAGAAGGGGTGAGTTTAGGGGCTTGGTTAGATGTCAACCCGGCTCAGTTGGTAGCACTTTCACCTCTTGAGTCAGAAGGTTGTGGGTCATGCCCCACATCAGGACTTTGAGGTCATACAGTCTAGACTGATACTCCAATCCTTTGCTGTGGTAGCACTGCATTGCCAGATGTGACCAGTTTAATTAAACCAAGGTCGCATCTGTCTGCTCAGGTCAATGTTGAAGATCCCATGACACTCTTCAAGAAGAGAAGAAAGGTTCTCCCAGTGCCCTAGGACATTGCTGTGTAAAGATTGGCACCCACATTTGCCTAGAAATACAATCATTGCCCTATTCCTTTGAAATGTTTCAACAATGTGATAAGGCACTGTATCAAGATCAGGGATTATTGTAAGCATTGGTTGTGCAAGGTTTTGTTATGGTGGTTACGTGCAATACAACAACAACAACAACAACATGCATTTATATAGCGCCCTTCAATGTGGGGCAGCATCTCTGAGCACTTCACAGTGGTGGAGACTGACAAAGAGCCAAGGGGAGAGGGAGTAGGGAGGTGACCATAAGCATAATCAAAAAAGGAAAGTCTTTAGGTGGGATTTGAAGGTTGGAAGGGAGGGGGCAAGGCGGAGGGATTGAAGGAGAGTTCCAGAGTTTCAGGGCAGAGTGGCTGAAGGCACAGTCACCGATGGCACAAGGGACAATTTGGAGGCCAGAGCCAGCCGAGCGGAAGCAGAGGGTGGGAAGTGGGGGGTAAGCAGGTCGGAGAGGTGTGAGAGAATAAAGTGATTTGAAAAGGAATACACTCGTGATCTTAAAAAAAACATGCTCACAAGAAAATTTAAGATGAAGAAAACCCGTTGGCCTATTTTACTAGTAGCACACTTGGTTGGTAGCATGCTCATCTATGGGTCATTATTGAACAATGGAAATGCGGGGATAAATGAATATTCAGGCATTCACTTTATTATCTTTTGAGGTGAATCATTTATACAGAATATTTCTTATACAACTGGAACAGAGCTTGCAATAGGGCAGATGGTGTGTGGTTTATGAATGAAGTGGGTTCAGTAACATGACCTTTGGTTCCATATTTTATTTTGTTCTGAATGGTTTTTTAATTGCTTTTCTCTCTCAGCCTTTGCCTGAATAACCGCACCAAAACTGACACAATAATCCATCCTCATTTTTTAAAAAAAATCAATCTTCAATCCAATTTATTGAGTGATTTCTTTAGCGAACGTAGACTGCAACTTGTAGTGTTGAAATAGAATATAAACTGAATCCACCCTTATTAAGTCTCATTCATAACAGCAACACTCAGAAGTTGGCAACAATATAGAAATGGTTAAATTGTAGTTAGGCAGATTGTAAACTGGCAGATTGTAAACCCTTTTAAACATGTGGGGAGCTGTGTTCTTATTTCAGAATGACATGTATCAAATAGATATATCAGAATAAAGCTTGATAAGTATAGTTTCTTGTCACCTACCAGGTCTCTTTGTGAAAATGTACAAACACAGCTCTGAATGCTAAAATGGGTTTGCAATCTGTTAATACAATTTATTTCCAACTAGATTTTCTGTGGATGGGAATCCAGAGCAGAATTTATTAGTCTATTAAAAGGCTTCACTTCCTGGTTTTTAATGCAATCCCTCAGGACATTCTGATACACACAACAGCTGTGCATTTATTGCACATCCACAACTCAGAACAACAGTTGAGTTAATGCTGAGGGAATCTGCAATGTGAATAGCACCTCTCTTGTGATATCAGACATGAATTCTTGCCACAAGATTGGTCACCCCAATTCAAGATAAAGGCACCTGAACGCTTTTCCTTTTCTCTCTCTCTGGTTCAGAGGTACTACAGCTAAATGTTGCACCATATCACTGCCCTGGCTGACATGAGCTCACTCAACACATTCAGGGGATCAAATACGAGACCATTTTGGTCTGCATTGCTAAGTTCCATCTGAATCATCAGAAGAGCTATTTCTACCTCTCCTGTCTATGCACACACTTCTATTTTACAGTAATAATCCTTGAACCCATAACCTCCTCCAATTCTTTAGGCCCACCCATATCATATGCCATTCTGAGAGTAAGCTAATAGATATACAATCTACTCACAGAAGCGTGTTAGTGGCATTGTGTGACAGTCCGTGAAAATACATTTCAGTTTTCCTAGCCTCCGGTCACTACTTTAATACTCATTTTCCAATCATCTACACAGGAAGTTTAAGCCTTGAATTATAAACTCACCAAACAATGATCTTTGTTTCTTCAACCTGAGCAGTAAGCACATTATTGAAGGCAGTCAGAGAGCATTAAAGCTATGAACTCAAATTCCAAAAGGGCACGAGTTTGAAAACAAACCTCAGCTGTCAATGGAGTTCACTTGACCTCATTTGGTGACTTTGCTATTCTAAATTATACGGTGGAGCACTTTCCAGCAGTGGAATGTGCCATTTGTGTCAGCCTAGCTCAGTAATGTCAAGCTGACTCAATTGGTAGCACTCTTGCTTCTGAGTCAGAAAATTGTGGGTTCAAGTCCTGAGTCAAGGTTGCAGTGCAGTGTTAGAGGAATGTTGCATTTGCAGAAGCACTGTCCTTTGGATGAAACGTTAAACTAAGGTCCTGTCTGCCTGGTTGGGTAGATATTAAGGAACCATGATGCAAACGCAAAAAGGAGGGAGATTCTCCCATTACCCAGGCCAACAATTATCAAATTAAATTGGTCATTCACCTCCTGCATGTTTGTGGATATTGCTGTACTTAAATTTGCTCCTGGGTTCACCGACAGTTACGCAGCCATTAAACTTTACAGCAAAACTCTGAGAAGCATTTTGATGTAATAAGGTGGCATATCCGATGCAAGATTATTATTATTTCTGAGAAAGCAGACAGAAAAACTGGCTGTTGTGCCCTAATTCAGTAGAGCACTTTTTGTTGATTGATTATGGAGAAGATTCACAACATGAAAATGGTTGTTTAAAACATTCCATGTAAAGTGATACTGCAATTGATTCTTTCTTAGTTGCAGTTTATTTTTTGTATTCTTATGTTTTTCCACATAATGTACCAGAGAAAACAACAGTTGTTGCCACTAAGAAACTATGTTTAACAATTGCAAAATATGTCCCTCATAACTTTCTCAATGTTCCAGGTTATTTTTAAATTTGACAACTGAAATACTCCAAATGTGTTTTGCATCCCCTTGAATGGATGGAAGAGCTCACATAGAATGGGCAACCTGTCCTGCTTACAGAACTACTGTATTTAATAGCTCTCACCATAATTAAGATTGAGATGGAGATTTGAAGATGCATTAAAAAAAGTGTCCAAAAGATCTTGTGAAATCCCAAGATTTACCATTGTATAGTAAACCTCAAAATATTATCCCTACTGTATTCAAATACCGCGAAACACTGGACTGTACAGAACACGGACCTAAGCATCTGAGAAAACAAGCTGGAGGAAATAAAAGCTCAGTTTATTGGTGAGCTTTTGAAATGTTCAGTCGCAAGAGACCTTTATAAATGAAAATGGAGCATAAGGTTACTTCTGAGAAAATCCAGAAAACAGAAACGGAAAGAAAATAATGGAACATTTTAAGAATATTTGTAACGGGAGGGCTGTGGGGGGCGGGGAGAGAGTGACGATAGCAAACATAATTGAGGTTCCAAATACAAAAAAAATGGTAGTAGAAAATATGCAGAAATCTACAACATGGATTTTGATTTTTATATCGCTGGCATGTAAACAAAACACTATTATTGTGGCTACAGTGATTACAGAGGTAGGGTACAAGTGGGTAGGTCATTTGAAATTCATGAAATGCATGAAGCAGCCAGCATGTGTACTCTGTTTTGAATGTTTTAGCTACACTTTCTTCTTCCATGAAAGCAATGAGGTTGTTTCCATAAAGTGTTGCTCATTCTCAAAGGACAAACCAATCAATTCAGGCTCTGTACAGTTTTCTGTTTCTCACAAATATCTTGTTACACAGTTCTCCTGTCACCTACGCCACAAAATATGTCTTGGTTTGCATACCTTTGTTTGCAAACACTTGAAATTTACTTTCCATTGTTCAAAACATCCACCAGTACTGAATACTTGCAACATTTATTTGCTGTGTATT